ATTTTAGAGGCCCATAATGTTACATAGAGGCCCATAAGGCCCGAAAGGCCCAAAAGTGAACAATGTTTTGTACTTCAGATGCACAGAATGAAAAAATATAAAGTGCTAAAATCTCTGCAGTCATGCGTCATCATAAATGGTCGCTGAGAGTGTGGAGCTACATCACACATCCACTGAGGAGTTCTTACTGTAACCAGGTTTACCCAGTGTAAATCTCTGCTCTCCAGCCCCTTCACCTCCATTCTCTCAGACATTGGGTCAGTGTTCAGTGAAGTTCACTTTAGTGCTCACTGAATCTCTACACGTCTGTGAGCATATAAAACAGGCTAATGAGAGGAAACTTTAGCTTGAGCCACTTACATGGTTGTTATTAAAAACAAAATCTGCATGTGAATTATGTTTTAGAGAAAGACGTCTATTACAGCAGCATCTTCTAAGCTGCTTATCCTTCTGTGTCATGGGGGGGGAGCTGGAGCCCATCCCAGCAGCCTTTGGGTGGAAGGCAGGATACACCCTGGATAGGTCAAAAAAGTAAACATATATAGTAAAATACACTAAAACAACCACAACATAAATATTATACAGGTGACAATGCAGTGGTGCATATCACATCCAGTGAATGAACAAGAGACTAAACACTAAACAATTACATATGTAAATAGTTGTGCAGTATGCCTGTGTGTATAAAAAAGTGGCAGTGCAATATTCAAAATTCACTTTCTGGTGCTTGAAGCTGCACCATTTAAGGTGAAACAGGAAATTGCAAACAAGAAGCTGCCAAATAAGAAGCTAACTTTGGGTTTGTGTAAGAAGGTTCTAACATTAATCTATTATGAATATCTGCACAGATTAAGGAATGTTATAACTTACCTAACTACAAAGCTTTAACCATCACTGTAAATAAATAACTACTACATAAAGTTAACATTCCCTGAATAGACTATTAAATGAAATAAGCTTAATATAAAACCAGAGGAAAAACAATCACATCAACTCTGTGTCTCATTAACCACACGGCCATATTTACACATAAACATCACACAGACAATACGCATCACACAAACATGGGTGTGGCACCGTTGACGTGCCTGGCTGGACCCAACGCGGCATCTAAGTATGTATATCTATGGGTGCAACGAGGAAGCAGGAAGCATTGGCTACAAGGATTACGGGCGTGTACACCATGTGAGTGAAGCAGAGACGCTGCCACATGCATTAAAATGGGCCTGTTTGTAAGAAGAGAGTGAGAGCAGCTGAACATGGTACTGCAAGGGTCTCGTCAAAAGTGTCAGCACGCAATGTCGGCAGCGAGGGCAGTGAGTTTGTCGAAAGAGGACCGAGGACCAGTCTCCTGGTGGCGGTTATGATCGCTACCTGGACAGGTGAGTATACGCAGCTTCCTTTTATTCTCTGCATGTAGTGGTGTGTAGTTGGAGTGAAGACATTGGGCCATTCCTCATTAATCAGGCTGTTGCTATCGAGATGTGAACTATGTTTAGTCCCTGAGATTTTTTTACTTTTTACCTACCACTCTGCAAAGTTAGAGGTTGGAGCTAATTCCAGGGTTAAGGACTTAGTTACTGCAAGCCCTTTCCTTGTCTCCTGGACAGATGTATGCACCCATGCCACATCTGTGAAGGCCAGATCGCAACTGCTCCCCGTGTAATCCAGACTGCTCCTCGAGACTCTCAAGCTGATTGAGTTTTATGGTTGTTTTATTTGCTTTTTTATATTGTCTACTTTTTCTTTTAAATGATTTTTGATGTAAGGGTGGAGCAATAAACCTTTCCTCAGACAGCCTCTGCCTCCTGTCGAGGGCTGGACTAAAACTGTTCAAATCAAACTGATCAAACCTATACTTTTCCCCCTTTTAACACAAGAGCTAAAAGCCTGATCTAACATACTTGATCCAGTAATAAAGGGCTGGAGGAGTGTTTAAATGTCAAAGCTGTCTATGTTGGATTTGACCTGTCCATGGTGGTATATTTCTGGAAATACGACTAGATGAACAGCAGAATTAAAGCTGTATGGCCCTTTGGACTTTCTCAGTAATGCACTCCTTAAAGCTGAGCCTACACTACACGATTTTTTTGCCCGATTGTAACCATGATTTGCCCCATGCAACAAATTTTCACAATTAGAAGCGACTCTCCAGGTCAGGAGCTCGATCGGATGCGACTGTCGGTGCGGATGATCTGTTACGCCAGGCATACACTATTTTAGAAATTATGTTCTTCAGTGACAGCTCACATTGTATGTTTAAATTGCAGCCAAAGCCTGCAATTTATGTGCCCACACTGTACGAAAACACTCGGTCCGACTGACCTGATGCGACCTGGATGCTCACACTGCACGTGAAACACAGCCCCTACAGGCGCTCTGTCTACAATAAAGCGCTTTCAGTCAAAACAACACGCTGCGCCTCCGAGTCCTGATCAAAACACTGGCTGATTCTCAGATGGTTCTCAGCTCCATACATATTGCACCACATATTAAAATTGTTGCTCCTGCACCCATACAGTGCATCACATGTCTTATAAATAGCCATCTGAGATTCAGCCGTGTGTGCACAGTTCCATACTGGACAAACAGGGCACTATTTTGGTGCAGAAGCCAGAATCAGCCATTGACAAACTGCTACAACAACTTTGCTGTTGCACTGTGCACTGAAGCTGAAGAGCAGGTAGTCTAAAGGCAGCTCTACAGACAAAAAACACTGTATTAATTTATACCTCGCAATTCAACTCAGTCAAACGGAGCAAAGTCAGCATACAGTCGGATCTGAGCAAATCGGGCTGAAAAACGGGCTAAAATCGCACAGTGAACACCTGGCTTGAGTGTGAGAGTGAATCTTTAGCTCTCCGATCGAACTCTGGAGTGATCACTGATCAGAGACCCTCCGAAATAATCAAACGTTTGATATTTATGACTCAAAACGATCAGGGGATCCCTGCGTGTAAAACACAGGCAAATAAGAGCCGATGGTATGTTAATAATGTTTATACTGTTTATCATGTTTATATTGCTGGATTCAGACTCTCTACACTTTCAGCTCAGCTGCCAGTCTGTAGTGAAATATTTCTCCAGATATCAGCGCTTCTCACCACAGATTCATCCCCGGTGTGCATGTTTGTTACGCACAAAAGCCCAAACAGTTCCAGTAAGTTCATCTCTGTTTCTGATCTGAGGATTTCTCGGAGTTCGAGTTCTTATTTGTAGCCCAAACTCGTTATGTCCCAATAGAGTCGAACTGCAGTGAGAGGCGTTTCCGTAAAACAAGAACGTCCACATCAGAAATGCCCACTTATTATTCATTGGCCAATATATCTGCAAAAGTGTCTTCTCTCATTGGTGGATATGACTAAATGAGGAAAATACTTCATTATTTGTAAAGACGTAACTAACACTAAATTAATATTGTTTCTACATATTTATGTAATGATCATTCGGCATTTAAAAACAAATATTTGTGAATCTATAGCCTCTGGTGATTTGTAGAGTCCTGCTTCGCGGTTTTGTGATCCCAGACTTGAACTTGCGGTCTGAATACCCATCGTAACAGCAGCAATGAGCAGTGTTTTCAGCAGTGCTACGCAATCTGCTCCATACCAACCATTATTTAAATTAATGTGTGATAATGGATTATAATAATAACGTCCCTAATGAGAAAAAACATAAACCATTAAGGGTTTCTGTTGGTTCTTGAGAGTTTGTGAGGAGTTTTGGCTTTTCTTGATAGGTTGATAATATAAAGGATCCTAATGGTTTACCAGGTGACCTGACTGAATCCAGATACATTTCTAATTCTACTTAGAAACTAGTGGTCTCTAATGGTAACCATTAGGAGGCAAAAGCATTAGATTTCAATCCTATGGTCTTTATTCAGCAGGGGCTACCGTGGTGCGGCCAGCTTGCACAATATAACTCTGGCAAGGTTGAGTATTGTTGACTATCAAGCAACCATGTGCTTATTTTCCACAAGTAAGCTCGTGCTAAAACATTAATGTAACAGTAAACTTACTGACATCATAACCTGTAATCAAAGCGCTCGGTGATCTCGATCTTATTAATCTTTCCTATTTTTTTCGCATTGTTCTGTACAACTGCATTTTAGGGCCACTGTTAATAAAAATAAAAATAGTAGACTTTGAGAATAAAGTCATAATATTTCGATGATAATATTGCAGAATTAGGATATTAAAGTGGGATATTACCAGGAAAGGTCGCAATATTATGGCCAAAGTGTTTGCAAAAGGAAGGTAACAAACCTCCTCCTGTGAAAATGAGACATGTTGAGGAGTGTCTTCATGTCTCTCCTGACACATCAGCACCAGCCTGTTATTAGTATAAGATACGGTTGAGATGGCTGTGCAAGAAATTGTGTTTATTCAGAGTAAAGGGCCAGATGGAAGCTGTCTGTCTGTGTTGTTGAAGGAGAATCTCAGGCAGGGTCGTCTACGTGGCTATCGGGGGCTGCATCTCCCCCCATTCAAAGAGGGCATGAAGTTTCACAGACAGTGAGGATCATGATCAAAATGATCCACAAAGAGACAGGAGTGAGTGGAGCTCCGGCACCAGTACAGCAACCGAGACCCCAACGCGTTATGTCAGCCCCCCTACAGTACAGCAACCGAGACCCCAACACGTTATGTCAGCCCCCGTACAATTAGCCTACTTTATCCTTGAGTTTATTCTCTTAACTTTACATCTTTAATCTCTAAATATTACAACTTGATTATCAAAGTCTACTATTTTTATTTTTTTATTAACCTAAAACGCCGTCATAGTTTTGTTTACTCGGCAACGTTACTATGAACTTTACTCCAAAGCCCACCTTACACTGACGTCACACGGGGCGTTCCTGAGGGCGTGTCTGCATCACAGAAACGCCCTCATATGGTGCTGCAATTAGACCCTCCTCCGTTATGTGTGGCACTCTCTCTCTCTCTCTCTCTCTCTCTCTCTCTCACACACACACACACACACACACACACACGACAAATAACAAGGAACTGGCTTGACGTTCGTGATGCTCTCCGTCGTGAAGCGAATGTTCAGCCTTAACCTGCATGTCTGTAAGAAACACTGCCACTAAAGAGTAGAGCTGCAGAGCCACGCCCATCTGACCCAACACTGCCGAGAAGTGAAACCGAAAGTTACTGACCACCCTTACAGAGACAGAAGATTCGGAGGAGTGGGTTTAACGCGGTAAGTTGATTGTTAATGTGAAGTGTTTTACTGATGAGGAGATTAAAGTTAGAACATGTTTTTTGTTGCTTACATCGTCAGAACTGTCCTTAAAATCTTAAACCTAAATCTACATAAACTCAGCACTGGATTAAACTTCGAGTCCAAGTTAGAAAAACGGCTGACGCACCGAAAAACATCGAGACAAACCCCAGAGTGATTATATTTCAGAGTATATCTGTGTGAACAGGCCTTACAGTAAACTGTGTTTATAATCATAAACAGTTTATAATCAAGTCAGTTCAGGTTTGTCGTATGTATTCAGAACACTGTGAGTATTCACTGTACACAGTTCACCGGTAGCACACAAAAACAGTTAACAAGGTACAGTGGAATACAAAACAGTGAACAGACTAGAAAGGTAGAATATAAAATGATGAGACTAATGCTGGGCTAACGTTACATATAATCTCAATAGTTGGATATTGCAGTTATGTATAAAGAGTTTCATTCCAAAATGCTATATGCTGTGTATATATTCGTAGTAGTGTTGCATATAGCAAGTTTTTAAAAAGAATAACAGCTAATGTATAATGGAAAACGTATTATTTCTCTAACATATGTGGTATTGATCATAATATAGATAATATACAACAGATATTTTTTGCGTATGTAAAGCCCACACCCAACAATTTATATCACACAAAAAATAATTTCTTTAAAGTGTTCATTAGGGCATTTTGGAATGAAACCCTTCATTATATCTCACAAATAAACATGTAGTTTGTCTGAATTCAAACTTAAATCCATTCATGTGCAGTTAATATACCATCATGCGGTATACCATCATGAATACTGTTGATTCTTGGAATCTTTTAATGATATTATGTGCTGTAGAAGATGAAATCCCCAAGTTCTTTGCTATTTTACGTTAAGAAATGTTATTCTTGAATTGTTGCACTATTTGATGGTGCAGTCTTTCACAGAGTGGTGAACCCTTCCCCATCTTTACTTCTGAAAGACTCCGCCTCTCTGAGATGCTCTTTTTGTACTAAATCATGTTACTGACCTGTTTCCAATTGACCACCAGGTGTTTTTTTAGCTTTACATAACTTCACCAGCCTTTTGTTGCCCATGCCCCAGCTTTTTTGGCATCAAATTCAAAATGGGCCTATATTTTTCAAAAACAATAATATTTCTCAGTTTCAACATTTGATATGTTGTCTTGGCACTATTTTCAATAGAATATAGAGTTTAAATTATTTGCACATCATTGCATTTTGTTTTTATTTATATTTTGCACAGTGTCCCAAATGGGGTTGTATTTAAAATAGTGTTGCAGTCACATAAAAGAATTATAAACACAGCTTCAGTGTTCTACACATATCTGTTTACAGATGAACTGTATTGTTTGAAGATTCAATTCTTCATGATGGAGTTTCAGAATTCCAGCAGTGGAGAAGAAACCCCTGGTTTAAAGTGAGTAGAAGCTTTCTGTCAGATCAGATCAACAAAACAGCAGCATCTCCAACACCCAGATTTGTTTCTAATAAAAGATACCAGCCTTTATAACTAGAACGCTCTTAGCACCTCTCATAAAAACAGCTGACTCAACTCTACTTCTTTTGCACTGCAACTATTTTAATTAAAGTGAAAATGTTTTCTCTTTTTGCAGTTAAAAGGTGTTAGGCCAGTGTTGACTAACTGACTGTAACACACAACCCACACATACAATATAAAAACTACCCCACTGTTTAATGCATAATTTAGCATGTTTATAATAATGCCCATAATAAACAACTCTACTAGAACCTATTTAATTCACTAACAGTGGACTTTATTAAAATTCTGTATTTCTACAGTTCACTTACATACTGTATCTACTGTAATACATTGTATTTACAATAGACAGTATCTGTTTTTACTTCTTACTTTATTTCTGTTACTGGGTTTAGAGTCACTTTCACTCTAATATCAGCAGGACTGAAAACCGGAGAGCAGTTTCTCCAGTGTTCAGCTGGGTGTCTATGAAGAGTGACCAGTCCATGGGAGAACCTTGTCATTTCAGCAGTGAGGTAGGAGAACCCAGCTGTGTGTCTACGAAGAGTGACCAGTCCATGGGAGAACCCTGTCATTTCACAGGAGGGGAAGAGGAACCCAGCTGTGTGTCTATGAAGAGTGACCAGTCCATGGGAGAACCTCTTTATTTTAGAAGCGGGGAAGGAGGACCCAGCTGCGTGTCTATGAAGAGTGACCAGTCCATTGGAGAACCTCGGCATTTCAGAAGAGGGGAAGGAGAACCCAGCTGTGTGTCTATGAAGAGTGACCAGTCCATGGGAGAACCTCTTTATTTTAGAAGCGGGGAAGGAGAACCCAGCTGCGTGTCTGTGAAGAGTGACCAGTCCATTGGAGAACCTCGGCATTTCAGAAGAGGGGAAGGAGAACCCAGCTGTGTGTCTATGAAGAGTGACCAGTCCATGGGAGAACCTCTTTATTTTAGAAGAGGGGAAGGAGGACCCAGCTGTGTGTCTATGAAGAGTGACCAGTCCATGGGAGAACCTCTTTATTTTCAGAAGAGGGGAAGGAGAACCCAGCTGTGTGTCTATGAAGAGTGACCAGTCCATGGGAGAACCTCTTTATTTTAGAAGAGGGGAAGGAGAATCCAGCTGTGTGTCTATGAAGAGTGACCAGTCCATGGGAGAACCTCTTTATTTTAGAAGAGGGGAAGGAGAACCCAGCTGTGTGTCTATGAAGAGTGACCAGTCCATTGGAGAACCTCGGCATTTCAGAAGAGGGGAAGGAGAACCCAGCTGTGTGTCTATGAAGAGTGACCAGTCCATTGGAGAACCTCTTTATTTTAGAAGAGGGGAAGGAGGACCCAGCTGTGTGTCTATGAAGAGTGACCAGTCCATGGGAGAACCTCTTTATTTTAGAAGAGGGGAAGGAGAATCCAGCTGTGTGTCTATGAAGAGTGACCAGTCCATGGGAGAGCCTCATGATTTTAGAAGCGGGGAAGGAGGACCCAGCTGTGTGTCTATGAAGAGTGACCAGTCCATTGGAGAACCTCTTTATTTTAGAAGCGGGGAAGGAGAACCCAGCTGTGTGTCTTTGAGGAGTAACCAGACGATATCTCTGGCTCCTGATTTCAGCCGTGGACTTGAGCCGTCTGACCCACAGTGAGTAAAATTAGAGGTCCTGTTAATACAAAATTGCATATTATAATATGTAAAGTGTAATATTTTAATTAATATTATAATTAATGTTCTCCATTATATACAGTTTAGTTCACTGAAGTGATACATGTTGAAAAAGCAAAAACATTTGTTTATAATATGTGGTTACCTTTTTACTTTTAATTTAAAGATGTAGTGCTTAATCACAAACTGTCAGACCTATAAAACACCACTGTGTTAGGTATAGGACACTGAATGCTAAACTATTAGAGCTGAAGGTGTGCTTTACTTACAAAGTTGAAAAGTAGAGTAAATGAAGCTGTTGTTATCAATAGCAATCTTTAGCAGGCTAACTCAAACAGATGTTAACTATTTATTTCAATTTAAATGTATTTATATGGCATTTCATACAACTCCCATGAAGCAGTTTTACAGATATCCAGGTCCAGGGCCTTAGTGAGCAAGCAATACTATTCTTGTAGTAAGCTCTAGCAGCTTAACTGAAGATGCCAGCAATAGTGATTAAGTGACCTTTATTAGTCCCACAACAGGGAAATTTCACCTCTGCATTTAACCCATCTGTGCAGTGAGACACCACATACACAGTAGTGAGCACACACTCACTAGGGGGCAGTGAGCACACTTGCCCGGAGCGGTGCGCAGCCCTATCCACAGCGCCCGGGGAGCAGTTGGGGTTTACGTGCCTTGCTCAAGGGCACATCAGTCACGTACTGTCAGTTCAGGGGATCGAACCGGCAACCTTCCGGTCACAGGGCTGGTTCCCTAACCTCCAGCCCAGTACTGCCTCATAAATAAAATTTATAATGAGCTTTAAAAGACTAACTGAAATTTAAATAGAGTTCAATTTAGACTTCCAGTGGACTGACTTAAACTTAATTGTACCAAGCAAACTGAAGCTAATATTAACTGTACTTAAAGTGAGCTTTAGCAGGCTAACTGAAGACGCCAGCAACAATACTTATAGTGAGCTCTAAAAGTCGAACTGAAACTTAAGTGTAGTTAGATTAAGCTCGAACAAAGTAACTGAAGCTGTAACTACAGTTAACGTTAGCTTCAGTTAGTCTGTTAGAGCTCACTGGAACAGTAGTTAATGTCAGCTTCAGTTAGTCTGTTAGAGCTCACTGTAACTATGGTTAACATCAGCTTCAGTTAGCCTGTTAGAGCTCACTGTAACTATAGTTAACATCAGCATCAGTTAGCCTGTTAGAGCTCACTGTAACTATAGTTAATGTCAGCTTCATTAGTCTGTTAGAGCTCACTGGAACCATAGTTAACGTCAGCTTCAGTCATTCTGTCAGAGCTCACTGTAATTACAGTTAATGTCAGCTTCAGTTAGTCTGTTAGAGCTCACTGTAAGTGTAGATACTGTGAGCTCTAACAGAATAATTGAAGCTGATGTGAATTGTAGTTACAGTGAGCTCTGACAGGCTAACTGAAGCTGACATTAACTGTAGTTACAGTGAGCTCTAACAGACTGACTGAAGCTGACATTAACTATAGTTCCAGTGAGTTCTAACAGACTAACCGAAGCTGACGTTAACTGTAGTTCCAGTGAGCTCTAACAGACTAACTGAAACTGATGTTAACTATAGTTACAATGAGCTCTAACAAAATAACTGAAGCTGACATTAACAATAGTTCCAGTGAGCTCTAACAGACTAATCGAAGCTGACATTAACTCTAGTTCCAGTGAGCTTTACAAACAAACTGAAGCTGACGTTAACTATAGTTACAGTGAGCTCTAACAAACTAACTGAAGGTAACTTTAACTATAGTTCCAGTAAGCTCTAACAAACTAACTGAAGCTGACGTTATCTACGTTAACTATAGTTCCAGTGATCTCTAACAAACTAACTGAAGCGGACCTTAACTATAGTTCCAGTGAGCTCAAACAGACTAACTGAATCTGACGTTAACTATAGTTCCAGTGAGCTCTAACACACTAATTGAAGCTGACGTTAACTGTAGTTACAGTGAGCTCTAACAGACTAACTAAAGCTGACGTTAACTATAGTTCCAGTGAGCTCTAACAGACTAACTGAAGGTGACGTTAACTATAGTTACAGTGAGCTCTAAAAGACTGACAGAACATGACGATAAATGTAGTTCCAGTGAGCTCTATCAGACTGACTGAAGCTGACGGTAAATGTAGTTACAGTGAGCTCTAACAGGATAACTGAAGCTGACGTTAAGTATAGTTCCAGTGAGCTCTAACAGACTAACTGAAGCTGACGTTAACTATAGGTACAGTGAGCTCTAACAGACTGACTGAAGCTGACGTTAACTGTATTTACAGTGAGCTCTAACAGACTAACTGAATCTGATTTTAACTGTAGTTACAGTGAGCTCTAACAGGCTAACTGATGCTGATGTTAAGTATAGTTTCAGTGAGCTCTAACCAATGAATTGAATCTGACGTTAACTATAGTTACAGTGAGCTCTAACAGACTAACTGAATCTGACGTTAACTATAGTTACAGTGAGCTCTAACAGACTAACTGAAGCTGACGTTAACTATAGTTACAGTGAGCTCTAACAGACTAACTGAATCTGACGTTAACTATAGTTACAGTGAGCTCTAACAGACCCCTTGAAGCTGACGTGAACTATAGTTCCAGTGAGCTCTAACAGAATGACTGAAGCTGATGTTAACTATAGTTCCAGTGAGCTCTAACAGACTACATGAAGCTGACGTTAACTGTAGTTACAGTGAGCTCTAACAGACTGACTGAAGCTGACGTTAACTATAGTTCCAGAGAGCTCCAACAGACTAACTGAAGCTGACGTTAACTATAGTTACAGTGAGCTGTAACAGACTAACTAAGGCTGATGTTAACTATAGTTACAGTGAGCTCTAACAGGCTGACTGAAGCTAACGTTAACTATAGTTCCAGTGAGCTCTAACAGGCTAACTGAAATTGAAGCTGACATTAACTTCATTAACTACATTTACAGTGACCTCTAACACACTAACTGAACCTGACGTTAACTGTAGTTACAGTGAGCTCTTACAGACTGACTGAAACTAACTTTAACTGTAGTTACAGTGAGCTCTAACAGACTGACTGAAGCTGATGTTAACTATAGTTCCAGTCCTCTCTAAGAGACTGACTGAACCTGACGTTAACTATAGTTACAGTGAGCTGTAACAGACTAACTGCAGCTGACGTTAACTATAGTTACAGTGAGCTCTAACAGACTAGATGAAGCTACGTAACTAAGTACAGTGAGCTGAACGAACTGCATACTGTAGTTACAGTGAGCTCTAACAGGCTGACTGAAGCTAATGTTAACTATAGTTCCAGTGAGCTCTAACAGGCTAACTGAAATTGAAGCTGACATTAACTTCATTAACTACATTTACAGTGACCTCTAACACACTAACTGAACCTGACGTTAACTGTAGTTACAGTGAGCTCTTACAGACTGACTGAAACTAACTTTAACTGTAGTTACAGTGAGCTCTAACAGACTGACTGAAGCTGATGTTAACTATAGTTCCAGTCCTCTCTAAGAGACTGACTGAACCTGACGTTAACTATAGTTACAGTGAGCTGTAACAGACTAACTGAACCTGACGTTAACTATAGTTACAGTGAGCTCTAACAGACTAACTGAAGTTGAAGCTGACGTTAACTATAGGTACAGTGAGCTCTAACAAATGAACTGAACCTGACATTAGCTGTAGTTCCAGTGAGCTCTAACAGACTGACTGAAGCTGACGTTAACTACATTAACTACATTTACAGTGACATCTAACACACTAACCTAAGCTGACGTTAACTGTAGTTACAGTGAGCTCTAACAGACTAACTGAAGCTGACGTTAACTGTAGTTCCAGTGAGCTCTAACAGACTGACTGAAGTTGCCGTTAACTGTAGTTCCAGAGAGCTCTAACAGACTAACTGAAGCTTATGTTAACTGTAGTTACAGTGAGCTCTAACAGACTAACTGAAGCTGATGTAAACTATAGTTCCAGTGAGCTCTAACAACGTGACTCAAGCTGACGTTAACTATAGTTCCAGTGAGCTCTAACGGACTAACTGAAGCTGACGTTAACTATAGTTACAGTGAGCTCTAAGAGACTACTTGAAGCTGACGTTAACTATAGTTCCAGTGAGCTCTAACGGACTGACTAAAGCTGACGTTAACTATAGTTACAGTGAGCTCTAAGAGACTGACTGAAGCTGACGTTAACTATAGTTCCAGTGAGCTCTAACACACTAACTCAAGCTGACGTTAACTATAGTTACAGTGAGCTCTAACAGGCTAACTGTAGCTGAAGCTGATGTTAACTATAGGTACAGTGAGCTCTAACAAATGAACTTAACCTGACCTTAGCTCTAGTTCCAGTGAGCTCTAACAGACTAACTGAAGCTGACATTAACTATAGTTCCAGTGAGCTCTAACAGACTAACTGAAGCTGACGTTAACTACATTAACTACATTTACAGTGACCTCTAACACACTAGCTAAAGCTGACGTTAACTGTAGTTACAGTGAGCTCTAACAGACTGACTGAAGCTGACGTTAACTGTAGTTACAGTGAGCTCTAACAGACTAACTGAAGCTGATGTTAACTGTAGTTACAGTGAGCTCTAACATACTAACTGAAGCTGACGTAAACTATAGTCACAGTGAGCTCTAACAACATGACTCAAGCTGACGTTAACTATAGTTCCAGTGAGCTCTAACAGACTAACTGAAGCTGACGTTAACTACATTAACTACATTTACAGTGAGCTCCAACAGACTGACTGAAGCTGACGTTAACTGTAGTTACAGTGAGCTCTAACAGACTAACTGAAGCTGACGTTAACTATAGCTCCAGAGAGCTCTAACAGACTAACTAAAGCTGATGTTAACTGCAGTTACAGTGAGCTCTAACAGACGAACTTAAGCTGACGTAAACCATAGTTACAGTGAGCTCTAACAGACTAACTGAAGCTGACGTTAACTACATTAACTACATTTACAGTGAG